TAGTTGAGTATTTATAGATGTGGGAACAGCTTTTGTCCTTTTCAGGAGACAGGGTGATCAGCATGCTTTTGTTGTGGATGTATTGTTGTGATAAGGGAGAGAGATTATCTGTCACTGTGGTTGATGGGTGTCTTTAGCTGGTCTTTTTTGTGCAATGATCCCTGGACCTTGTGGCTTGGTAGAGTTTGTTGACCTTCTGCAGGCTGCATTTTCCAGTGCTGGGAGCCAGGTCTTGTTAACGGGTCTTCTTGTCCTGAAAAGGACAAAAGCTGTTCCCAAAGCTATAAATACTCTACTTTCCAACAAACAGCAACAGAGCATGGACAGAGTCCTCTGAAGATGCTGGCCATGAAGACTGGTGAAACTTCAGGAAGAACTACCTTCAGAACATGGCCAAAGAGCCCGAAAAACCCGTGACAACCATCAGATCTCGGCCGTGAAAGCCTTCAAGGATACAATATTGTAATTTGTTTTTGAATTGTCCCCATGTCTACTATACTAGAAATCTACTATATAGAAGTCATATATTAGAAGTCCGCTGTTCTTTGCTGTGGTCCCAATCTTATGGAACCAATTTCTGGAGGAGCTTCAGCTGCCCCCCTTCCTGTGGACTCTTTAGGAGACAATTGAAGACATGGCTTTTTAGGGATGCTTTCCACACTGATCCTAACTGACTGCCTTTTGTCCGTCACTTTTTTGTTCTGTTGTTTTAGCACCATCTGGTTTTATTGGTTAGTTGCTATACTGGTTTTAAACAGTTTGTTTTATTCTGAGTTTGTTTTGTTTATTATTGTAAAGCACCCTAAAGGGAAGCTATATACAAATGTAAATAATGAATACATTTACAAGTCCTATGAGGTTTGCTACAAGTTGGTTTCCGTTAGAGGCCACAAAACTCACAACACAATGGCACCATGGCACAAACACATGGATCTGGGGTATGGATTCCAAATGAGGTTTCTGTTACCCCAGTGGATAGGAGGGCATAACCAGAAATGACACTAGGATGCTTGCAGATATAATTAATGGATTTTTTTAAATCACAGCAGATAAACAAGAAATAAAATTTGTTAAATGAAGACACAATATAAAATAAATCAAAGGAAAATCAATGAATTTCTAACTTAATACAATGCAACAATGAAAAGTGTAAAGCAGAACAACCTATACAGTGGTGCCTCGCTTGACGACGTTAATTCGTTCCAGTGAAATCGCTGTAGAGCGAAAACGTAAAGCAAAATTTAAAAAGCCCATTGAAATGCATTGAAAACTTTTCAATGCATTCCAATGGGCTGAATAACTCACCATCCAGCGAAGATCCTCCATAGGAGCGGCCATTTTCGGTGCCTGTAGAGCAAGGAATCCCTCCAAAAACACAGCGGGGAGCCATTTTGAGCAGCCAGTGGCCATTTTGAAAACCCAACAATCAGCTGTTTTGATCGTCGTAATATGAAGAATTGGTTCCCAAAGCAGGGAACCGATCATCGTCAAACGAAAAAAAAACCATTAAAACATTGTTTTGCGATCACAAAAACATCGTCGTGAAGCTGATTTATCATTATATGGGGTAATCGTTAAGCGGGGCACGACTGTATTAGAGTATCAGATTAAATTACAGTTATGCAAAATCAGCCACAGATAGCCCTTTATGAAGCACTGTATTTGCCCCTAACCTTCAGTCCGCTAGTTGAAGCTCACTATGTTCCAGCTGTTTGGTCTAAAGAGTGAGAAACATATAGCTACCGTGTATATGTTTGCGTGTCCACATGCGGGTGGTGAAACAAGGGAAGTGTAGAATCTCCCAGAAAGGATTAGTCTATCCCATTGTAAAAACTGAAGCTTCTCTTAAAATCAAGGCAAGCTAAGGCCTGAAGGCCCCAGCGTACTCAAAATCTGTGAAAGTAAATATTACAAGAGAAAAGTAAACTGAGAAGCATCTGTGTGTAAGTATGAAGAATGTGATGCTGAATCTGAGTCCCAAATAGCAATTGCTTCTCGCTCCACTGATGCCCTTAATTCTCTTGAATTCTGGCTGGCTTCTTTACCTTCACCCTCTAAAGTTCAGTTCTGCCATCGCAAATTGGGGGGGAAAGTGAACCGCACCACTTTTCTTTATCCCAGACAGTAAAATCACCCCTTTGTCCTGTGGTACATGATGTGACTGTATGATCTTATCAGGGTATGCCCGGTCCTGGTATTTGACCTTGTAGCCTGTCCAGACTGTTCCATCCTCTTCCAGCTCAGCCAGAGCCTTGTTGCCACAGTATTTCTTTGTTCATTCCATCATGCAGAAATCCAGGCTGGAATTAATTCTCAACCCTTTCTGCCAATAGGAAATAGTCAATTGTGCTGTGTATGAAGCAAACCAAAGACTCCCTCAATGCCATTCCATAGGCAGGCCATTCCACAGGTCAGTACTCCAGCCCATAGACCATATATCCATAGGCCAGTTCAGTCCATATGTCCACAGGCCCTTTAACCAGTGTACTCTTGTACCATAAATGTAGGACCTGATTAACATGGATCACCTGTGGATCCAAATAATTTTTATGTGAGATTGTTCAAAAGAACCCGTCAAACCATGTTATCTGGAGCATCCATGCTTCAGTTATTGGCTACAAAATGAAGCATAAAAATAATGGATGCCTAGCTACCCAGTTCTGCCCCATTTCAAAACTACAGATCTGAGGAATGGATCCCCATTGGTTTGCATGATTTTTATATGGGATCTTCTCCCTGACACTTTGAAACAATATATCCCATCTCTGCCCACACACCAAACCATAAGATTCACAGATCCCTCACTTCATGGTGTCAACATGTTAGAAAAGTCTAGGTCTGAGCTGTGGATGCTCCCCAAATTATAATCAGATCACAGATCATATCTATGCCCACAGATGACTCATACAAATCATGGATCTATTGACTCTTAACTCTCATCTGTGCTTATAATCCAACCCATTAAAAAAAACCAACTTCACATTCACATCATACATTCAATTCTTGCATATTGCCCAGATATACAAGATATAATTTTACTTTCACTTATTCCAGAGTGTTAAGACATTCAGCTATGCCTATCACAGGAAAGTATACACTGATCAGTAACATGAAAGCTACCTGGCTAATATCATGCAAGTCCCCCTCATGCTGCCAAAAATCACTCTGATGCATCATGGCATGGACGCCATAAGACCTCTGAATGTGTCCTGGTGTATATGGCTCCAAGACATTAGCAGTAGATCTTTTAAGTCGTGCAAGTGGTGAGGTACAGCTCCATGGATCAGATTTGATCTTTCATTATGTCCCATAGATGCGCCATCAGATTAAGATTGGTGCAATTTTGAAGCCAAGGGAACACCTTGAACTTTGTCATGTTCCTCATTCCTAAACAATTTTTGCAGTGCGGGTGCATTATTCTACTGAAAGAGGAGTCATCTGGGGAACATCATTGCCATGAAGGGGTCTATGTGTCCACCACAATCTCCAGGTAGGTGATACATATCCACAGGTTTCCCAGTAATATCCACAGGTTTCCCAGCAGAACATTGCTCAGAGCATAACACTGCCTCTGCCACCTTCTTCCCATAGTGCATCCTGCTGCCATCTCTTCCCCAGGTAAATGTTGCACACACACACAGCCATCCACCTGATCTAAAAGAAAACGAGACTAGGCAACCTTCTTCCATTGCTCCACAGTCCAGTTCCGATGCTCACAACCCCATTGTAGACACTTTTGGCAGTGGACACGGGCCATCGTGAGCATCCTGACCAGCCTGCAGTTGCACAGCCCCATATGCAGCAAAACTGTGATGCGCTGTGTTCTGATGCCTTTCTATTATAGCTACAGTAGCTTTTCTGTGTGATTAGATCAGATGGGCTAGCCATTGCTCCCAACCCTGATGCTGGTTCACTGGTTGCCCTTCCTTGCACCATTTTTCATAGGTACAAACCACTGCATGCCAGAAGCTCCCCACAAGACTTGCCATTTTGAAGATGCTCTAACCCAGTCATCTAACCATTGCTATTTGGCTCTTGCCAGAGTCACTCAGATCTTTTTGCCTGCCCGTATTTCCTGCTTCCAAGACATTAAATTCAAGAACTGACTGTTCACTTGCTGACTAATACATCTCATCACTTGACGAGAGCCATTGTAACATATAATCAATGGCATTCACCTGTTAGTGGTTTTAATATGGCCGCTGATCAGTGTAGTTCTAAATCAGGAGTGGCCAAAGGACATCCTTCTGGATTTACTGCACTGTAAGACCCAGTATTCTTAAGGAATAGCTGTGCTGGCTAAAGCGAGCAGGCGATGCTGTGCAACACCACCTGAAGAGCTCCCATTTCCCTTTTTCTCTTAAGCAGCCCTGAATATTGAACTCTGGACAGCTACCTGTGTTACACTACTGAATTCAAATACAGATATATTTTCCCCAGATACATAAAAGAGCTGTGAAATCGAAACAAGGGAATGTGTTCCTGGGTCATCTGACAATTGTCAACATGTCTTCATCCAAATTCATTTAACACAATGATGCAGGAAATTGTAAACAAAATATGGCCTGAAACCTCACAGAACAGCTAACACAAGCCGAAGGCATAACATTAACTCGCTTCCAGACAGCGATTCTCGGGTCTCAAGCTCTTGAGGATCCTAGTAAGAACTCTTTTAATTACCAGGTGGAAGTGAATGAATGTGTTTGTGGTGAAAAAAAAATGCAACAGGATCTCAGCGAGTGTATATTCTTACCCAGATCATGGCTATTCAGCATTGTGCTTTGCTATCTGTTACAGCTAACTAGCACAAATGCACAGGTATCTGCTCTCCTTACCACCACTACCACCCACAAAACTAAAGTTAACAAATTTCTTAGAAATACCAATCAGCCCTGTTCATTGCTGTGACGATGCTTTCCTCTTAAGTATGCAAATATCCTTGCAGGTATATATGCCTGGTGGAGAATTCCAAGAGTTGCAGAAGAAAAAAGAGAAACATCTCCAAACTCTGATTTTAATCCAACATTTTGTTATACAAAATAAGACTAACAATAGTTGGAACGTAATTTGCATGGACTGGATATTACCAAACCCAACCATTTCACAAGGTACCCTGATAAGCATATGGATACCAACCACGGAATGGAACCACCCCAGTTATGAAAGCTGATCCTACAGGGCATCGGTTTGTGCAAGGAAAAGAGATTGTTGCATGTTTCTAATGCTTGAATACAGTATGAATATTGGGGGAAATGGAAATAAAATTTAGGATTACTACTCTCCTTAAAAAAGGGTTCTATATATTCTCAAAGTATTGATGTGTAACCAATGTTTAGCTGATAAAACACAAGAAGGTACCAGTTCTCCCAGAACTAAAGGTATGGATTTTAATTAAAATAAGTTCTATAGGGAACAGAAATTAACTTGTTTTGTTAAGACTTTGGATATAAGAACTTCTGTGTCACTGATAAATAATATCACCCTTTAAAAATAGACAGAAGATGGAATAGCTCAGTGGGTTGGTGTGCCTGGATCGGAACGCTCACTCTGCTTACCAGGAGAGGGGCCAGCTCAGATCACCAGAGTGTTTGTGCCTGATAGGGACTATATTTACTTTATACCAAGAAAGATCTAAGAGGATCACCCCAAGACATATGACTGGACTGCACACAGTTACTTATGCAAAACTGTCTAAACACCTAACTATCCCTGGTGAAAAAAGAAACAAATTGAGTTTTATATGATTGTACAGAGGCAGCACAAACAAAGAAAATCCAGAGGTTAAATGCAAACAAGGCAATTGTAACTAATGACTATATTCTGGCTTCAATAATCAAACATTTTCTTATTAACAACCAGCATGAACTTGTTAAAAATCAAGAAAAACTACTAAGTGAGCACATCATTCTTCAAAATAATCATCCATTTTGGAGGTGTGGTCAGAAGGGAAATTATCAAAGTAGCTTTCAGCTAAACGCAGCATCTGCCTCACTGCCATGAGTATCAGGATATCAGCATCATCCTTCAGTTCAAGTTCTGAACAGTAATTTTTAACAGGAACTATCTGGGAAAGAGGGATTCCAAGACTTTCTGCCGTTATCTCCATCTGAATTTAAAAAACAACATAATTAAGATGTAGTTCTTATCCTACTGCTCTCAAAAGAACTCTGCTAATCCTGATAACATTTGTGTTCTCCTACCTTTGTTGCACTGTGTGTGAAGTTGCATAAGTTTTATTTTCAAATTGTGCAACAGATTTCCAAAATGGTTAATATAATGTGTAATAGGGCAAACTCATTCCAAAGGCAGAATCATTTTTTCACAAGGAGACTCCTGCTTATGTGATTAGCTCCTACGAACAAAATTGCAACTCCTCTTTTTGACAAAATATTGCTTTTTAGATTTTATTAATGTAGCACGCAAGATTTAAAATAGATATACTTTGTTTCTAGGGCTTGGAATCAGGAGCACTGATCCTTAGGCACTTAAGAAGACTGAATGCAATTATTAATGTTAGAACGCTGAAGAAATTCTGAAATAAATTTGACATTGTTATTAAGATATTAGTTTGTGTATTGAAAATATCAATTAAACAAAAAAGTAACATTGCACTAATATGAAATGTTATTTGCATTCAACAATTAAAATAACATTTGAAATCAGTGTTGAAAATTTTAAAGAATCAGGTATAAGAAATTAATTTTAATACACTTACCCAGTTACTGTATACAAGAGGCACAAATTAATTTAGGGAAATCCCTCCCCCCCCAGTGCCAAGAATGGTCAAGATGGTTTATAGAATGCCCTCTTGCTTTTTTAAAAACTGTAACTTGAAAAACATTTGCCTAAATTTCCCCAAACTTGGTACAGGATAAGAGCAGACTGTCTGCTGCATGTGTATCTAATTTGGTGGTGAACTAAAGCCATTATGAAAAGTTATAGTTTTTTGTTTGGGCAGCCCCATTTTTAGAATTGCCTTGGAGAATGCTGATTTTCATTGCTGTGCAATAACACAAATGCACTCCTGTGCAGCTATAATTCATTAACATGTCTGTCCACACAGACACGCAGAAAGACATTCACTCAGATACTCCCTCATAATATTCCATTTGAAAAGCAGAAAAATATCCCATCTCTCAGACAGAGATGTTTCCATTGACTGCTGCTTCCCTTCATGTTTGATTTTAAAGCTGGGATATTAACTTGACTACTCCCATTCATTATCCTATTCCTCTTCCACAATCCAAAATATGAAGTAGGGAAAGTTCAGGAGGAGAGCAACACAAGTGGGACTCTGATCATTCATCTCAAATAAAGAAATAGGTAAAAGTGGGATAGCTGGAAAACTGCATAAGTCTGAGGTGGGACACTGCCCCGTTTGCCTGAAAAGACCAGCCTCCATTGGAAAAAGGGTCTGGAGATACAAGATAGCCTAACCAAAGGTAGGAATGGAAATCAAACAACTTCGGTAAGTGTGAAAAATTGCAACCCGTATGCTGAAGTCAGCCTATAAATAAGAATTGCCAATATATTCAGTTTGTATATGTTTGGCAGCCTTTAAAGGAAAATGAATGAACATGTTAAGATACTAGCTGAAATTCTGTTACTTAGCACAGTAAGCTGCAACCAGATGAAGCCCATTTGAATCAAAGGAACTTACACAGAACTGATTCACCAAATCCACACTGATTCAATGGACCTGCACTAATGCAATTTACTACACTAAGCGACAGGATTTCAGGCACTGAGTGTGGACTTAACTGTAGGAAGAGTACTGCTTGTTCAAAACTGCTGAATTAATATTCAGCATGACAACCAATATTTACCTGTCTCATAACAGCTTGGCTTCTATATACATCTGACAAGTCTTCCTTGTTAGAAGGACAAACTGCATCCACTTTAGTCATTACTACAAGTTGAGGCACAGCTATAGGGAGAAAGTGAGTTACAAAAAGAACAGTTATTACAAAACATGGATTTCCAAGTCTCTTGTGTCACAATTGTTCCTCAGTAGTTATCCA